ACATGAAAAACAACACTAAACCACACGGTGCAAGTAAATATGAGCCACGTGCGAAATACAACACCAACACAAACAGAATGTACAACACGAGTACACAATAAATGAAAACTCTTACTGTGCACTCGCACATGCAATGTGCATTTTTCATCCCAGCGCCAACTGAAACCATCTAAGACGCTGAGAATGAAACAACATGCTCCGAACAGAACAAACACAAACACCAGGACGAGAGTGCGCATGCCAAGCACCCCAGAACTCTGAAGCATGCCCGGCAAAGATGGCACTCATACAAAAAAACGAAGACAGACGAGAACAGAATAAGAGTGCTTGACCCGAGAAAAATCGAGCTGAGCACAACATACAAGACAAGACAGGACTAGTTTCTGGACTCTGACATCAAAACAGGAATTAACAAGGGCGAAGTAGCTGAATCCTGACACGTAACTTAGTTAGGTAATTTAGTCTCAAAAGGGTGTGTCTGCAAAGATCTGTATAAAATAGCATTACACTATAGGGATTCCTGTAATTAAGACATTTCATACAAGTCATAATGTCTCTTCCTTAAAGAGTGAACACATGTAAGTAACTGAACACTCTAGCAATGAGGAGAAAGACTTATGAAGTTCAGACACAGGTATAAGAAATCAGGGTTAAAGAGGGGTATTGAACTTGGTTCTGGATGGGCATATAAGTATAAAGAGATTGTAATTCATGATGGATGTTCCATCTGCAGATTTGGATGGAGTATAACACAGAAGACAGCAACACTTGGTTAGCCATGATAAAAAAATAAAAATAAATAAATAAATAAAAAAAAGTTACCATAACTCCTTGTATGTAGAATTGGATTAAAAGAATATCCATTTGAATTAATTGGTTCATTCTAAATACTCTACCTCAAATGGAGAGATAATTTGCATAAAATATAAAAAACAAATGGAGAGATTTGCATGGAATTAAGTTTAATTCATTCTGTTAACTTACTGAGTGGTATTGTGGCTCAGCGTTTATCACTGTTGCCTCACAGTAAGAAGGTCGCTGGCTCGAGTCCTGGCATTTTTTAAGGCTGGTTCAAGTCCCAGATGACATTCCTTTAGGTTCACTATCTTACATAAAGTTTAGATGTCTGAATCAAAGTAGAAAAAAATAATAATAGAACAGTTCTTGTAAAATTATAGATTAAATGAAGATTAAAGTTCATCTATGATGAAAATCCTCTTTTGTAAGCTGTTTGGACTAAACTGAGTGTAGGTATAGTGTGTCCACAGTCATATCGAAGTGATATAAACACAATAAGTATATTTTTTTTACGAAATGATCGACAGTCGTAAATTAACATGTCTCCAGGATTAAACGATCTTTTCAGCTCTCTGTGTTCAGCAGCACCTCAAGATTAAGTATTACAAGTCTAAAATGTTTCTTAAACAGTGCATGTTTGTAATAAAAACAGGTAAAATTGCCTTGTAATTCTTCACCACGGCTGCATGTCAGTACAATTATACAAGAAGATGCTTCCTGGTTTGTTAAATTAGGTTCATTTTGTACATAACGGATATCCATACCGTAGTGGATATTAACGTGTATCCTGTCACATTTGCTGTGCAAAAACAGTGCAAAGCTAAATGCACATGTGTGTGCAAACTTTATAACGACTTTGTGTGTGACTCGTTGTAGAGGAAAGGCTTGAATTGACTCCACAGCAAATACATCAATTAATAGTTGGTAAAATTCTTACTATGTGGGAGATCTGCTTTATTCTTGTTTGATATTGTGCTGCTTCTGTGTGAGATGCAGCAGGAGAAGCTACACCCAGGGCTGCTGCTGGCCAAAAACTGGTAAAATGCTGGTAAAATGTAAAATCTACATACAAAACAAAAACACATAAACATATTTATTATGTATAATTATATAAATCTATAAGTCAGAATTATTAGCCCCCTTTGATTTTTTAACATTTTTTTAGATTTTTCCCATATGATGTTTAACAAAGGCATTTTCACAGTATGTCTGAACAAAGACTTATCTTAAATCTTAAAAAAGGGTACCCTTTAAATTTAAGTCCATCTTCTGTACAAAGTAGTTGCCATAAATTTGGCACGATTTTACTGTAAGTCATTTAGATGTTGTGAAAATCAAGTTTATTCTACATTTGAAAAATTCCATTGTAAACAACTTTACTAGTTGCTAAATAACTTCAAAAGGGTCAACGTAGCTTTTTGTATTAGAATAGTGTCCAACACACAATTTATGAATGCATGTACCAGAGCAGCAGAATCAAATTGACCGGGAGTGATAAATAATATTTGAAGGTCAGTTTGTTTAACAACATGCATCTCATCCTATTGTAAAAAACGTTGAGGTAAAAATTAGCAGACATATGTAAGACCTTTAGTGGACATTACCATGTAGCATCATAGTCATTTTGTACCCATCAGATCAACAAACAATTTCCAGAGTTTCACCCTTTTATCAGAAATGTACATCGGCATCTCATTGGCATAAATCTCAACAAAATTCCTGTAATATTATAAATATGCCTGGATGCTCACATGGACAACAGAGCAGTTATAACTAAAAGACACAAATGCTATTTACCAAGTTTAATTGGTTTGCACCTGTCAACACACAAACAGTAAATGGCATAGGTGCTTGCTGTGACTCCTGATTAATTTCACAGTGTTGTGATGCAGGGAGTGAACGATGTATTGACAATCTTGATTGGACACAACATGTACAGATGCTCTTCAAAGGGAGATTCTCACAAATAACTTGTTAATAGGGGTTTGAGGTTTTCTTTATAGATGACTGTTATGTTACATTTGTACTGGGTAAACCTCCTTTGTTGATATTGGAGCAGGATTTCTTTCACATAAACACTTTCATTTCTTCTTTTATGTCCTTTTTGGAACTTAAAGTCTTTGGGCTAAAGGTTTGGTTTAGTTTACACACACATGCATACACAAAGAAAATTAATCATATAGTAGATAGTAATTCATCTTAAACGTTTTTTTTCAGTTGCCAACTAAAATAACTGCTTCAGAGTTTTTATCTATATTAATAAATTAATATATATATATAATGTTGTTCAAGGAAGTTCACCTTGGTGAAAAGACATTTACTGTAAGTAACTTTTGAGTGCACATCCATGTTTACTTACATATATGAGATCATTCTAGATATATAAATGTGCATTTTTAGAACACTTCTTAATGCAAAGCAAGTTCATAATTAAATGTAATTAAGTCTGTTCAAAACATTGTTTTGTAGCCCTAAACGATGTAATGTAGACCTAAATTTCAGATCTTCCTAGGAACTTCAAGTTCTCACTTGAAGACAAATTTTAGGATTGTTTTAGTTTTTGTTCCTGATATTTAGTTTCAGACATAACTGCTGATAGTGTGTGTCAGATTTAGTTTTTTACAACACATGCTTTAATGTAACTCACAGGATGTACAGTTGAAGTCAGATTTATTAGCCCCCCAGTTTTTTTCCCACAATTTCTGTTTAACGGAGAGAAGATTTTTTAAACACTTTTCTAAACAAAATAGTTGTAATAACTCATTTCTAATAACTGATTTATTTTATCTTTGTCATGATGACAGCACATAATATTTTACTAGATTTTTTTCGAGACACTTCTAAACAGCTTAAAGTGACATTTAAAGGCTTAACTAGGTTAATAAGGTTAACTAGGCAGGTTAGGGTAATTAGGCAAGTTATTGTATAATGACGGTTTGTTCTGTAGACAATCAAAAAAAATTGTAGCTTAAAGGGGCTAATAATATTGAACTTAAACTGTTTTTTAAAAAATTAAAAACGACTTTTTAGCTGAGATAAAACAAATAAGAATTTCTCCAGAAGTGAAAATATCATAATTTATACTGTGAAAATTTTATTGCTTTGTCAAACATAATTTGGGAAATATTTAAAAAAGAAAGAAAGAAAAAAATCAAAGGGGGCTAATAAATCTGACTTCAACTGTAAATGTAAGTGTGAGCAATTAAATGACCCCTGGCACTGCAGTGGGTTTTTCAAAGATAGGTTCTGTCACAGTTAGGGATGCGTCTCATTTGGTGCTGCACTTCCAGCACCTGCTCATGCCTGTGCGCAGGTCTGAAATCAGTAGGTTGTAAAATGAAACTTGTGGCCAGCACACTCTACTCAGCAAATTTACAGCACTGAAATTTAGGCAATTGAAATAGGCTACCTGTTTCACTAATGAGATAATACCAGACAAAAACATATAATAATAAATAGTCAAATATTTCATAAATATAATGTAAACAAACTTTAACATTCTTTAAGAAATTCTCTCAAAAATAAGCTTTGCAACCAAAAGTTATAATCCTACTATGACAAAGTGTTTCAAACTCCAATTATAAGGGTTTGTCTTTTTTTTACTGTTCAGCTTTTTTTTTTGTATCAATGTTGTTTCAATGTTGAAACATAAACAGACAGTACATGTTTGAAGGTTGTCATGTCAGCTGCATACGTCATATGCATAGACTTTATGCTTAAAAAAAAAAACTGAGCACATGTGAATGACAAAAAACAGCATTAGCAATTAATAAACAAAAACAAAAAAATATGTTAAATACCATTTTAAAGGGTCCTTAAGGGTCTTGCAAATTGACATTTTCTGTTTCTTTTCACTTTATTTTCACAGATTTGGTTATTTGTTTATTTAAATTATTTGATTATTAATAAAGAATTAAAATAATAATAAATATTTTTTACACTTCCAAAAAAGTAATTTTTTTTAAAGTTAATAATGTAATGCTTATTAATTAATTAATCTTTTATATATATATATATATATATACATACATTAAAGAAGCCAAGCAACCCATTTATTCAAAATAGCTGTGTTTGTTGATTTCTAATTTAAAAAAGGGCATTTTAACCTTGCTGACGTCGTTTAGTGACTATCCAATGGCGAAAGCTTAGCTTTTGAATATTAACAAGTGTGCCTTCACCGTAGTAGCGTTGGTGGATTCGCAGACCGGCTATTCAACAGAGAGCAAACTGCACAGGCGGACGCGAGCTGTGCAGGTCTCCGCAATGCCAGTCGGATTTTAAAGCACCCGGTTCAGCCCGTAAAAAGGAAGGAACAGGACATATTAAAATAACCCCTTTTCCCACTTAAACCACAGACTATCTGGCTGATACGGACTGGAAAAAAAAGATAGAGGCATCGTTAAATTGGAGTAAAGCGCGTCCTCCGGTGCAGCGCAGAATTAAGAGGATTGCTGTATCCCAAGAACTGCAACGCCGCGTGAAGTGTGTTTAGACGGGAAACATGTCATTGTCTGGGAAAGAAAATAGCACTACCCCTCATGCCAATTACGTGGGACCATACCGCTTAGAAAAGACCCTCGGGAAAGGACAGACAGGTTTGTGCTTTAAGGCATTTTGACTGTAATATGCATTGCTTTTGCCATTGGATTATAATCTCCAAGTAAGAGAAGTCAGTTGATATGAGTCCAGTTGATATTGTTTGTTGGTTATACTGTTTTGCATGACGGACAGGTGGATGCATCTGTCATTGATTCGTTTCCGTGTTCAGTAAGATTAAACCAAATAGCCTCTGCAACCTTCAGCTTGGTTGTTGCAGCCCTGGAGCGTGGATGTGTCCTTTTGAACTTGTCTACCTGAGTTTTAGAACATGCATTGATGCATTTATGCATACACGCTAATCACTAACTGCCCAATAGCTTGAACTTTTCTAAGAATAGCTGGAATAGTATTGCTGTGATTCATATGAAAGTGTTCAGTATAGAAATTCACAAAAGTACTTCCTCAACTTTCTTTCTTTCTTTCTTTCTTTCTTTCTTTCTTTCTTTCTTTCTTTCTTTCTTTCTTTCTATCTATCTATCTATCTATCTATCTATCTATCTATCTATCTATCTATCTATCTATCTATCTATCTATCTATCTATCTATCTATCTATCTATCTATCTATCTATCTATCTATCTATCTATCTATCTATCTATCTATCTATCTAACACTAAATGTTTATTCTATACCACATTTTTATACATTACAAAATATATATAATTTTTTTGGATAATTTGGCATACAATTTACTTTGTCACATCCTAATTATGCGAGCCGGAAGAGGAGCACAATCTGGCGGGGCAGCAGGAACCATACAACTGCACAAGGAAAGTGATGCAACACTTCATTGCAGTTTAGGCCTGTTTGCCATCCCCAAATTGTACAATGCTGGATATTTTTTTTTCTTTGACCCTTTCTCCAGAAGAACTTTAGTTGATGCTTTTCGTATAATGACTGTATTGAATTTTAGGTTGACTGCTGGATATTAGCTGAAATTAAAATCTTGCAATACACAGAGCAGGCTGTTTGCTTAAACACGAACCATGGCGGTTTTATCAGTGGTGTTCTGGGTAAAGATATTCTGCCAGTAATATTCACAAAAGTAAAAAAAAAAGAAGTTATTTTTTGATCATTACAATTGTGAAAACAGACTGAAGTCAAGTTAATGTAAAGACAGAATTTTTCTCATTTTAATTTATTGCTAGATAATTTAGGCACATGTAAAAGTTTATGAATAGCTCTGCACAAGCACCTCGACAAAAGATAAAATGCAGAAAATGAAGACAAAAAGCATTTGATTCTCACTCTTTGAATTTAGGGAGAACTAACAACATACTGTATGTTAACCAAAAACATGTTGACGTAGTTTATTTAAAAACATTATGGAATTGGCTCATGACACTGATGATATTTCACAATAAATAATAAATTAACATGAACTAACCATGAAAACTAAAAAAAAAAAAGTCTTTGCTAGAGTAATTTATTTAATTAATAAACACTGAACAGCATTTTATAAACCAATATTTATTTACTAATATATTGCAATTGTTTTACTTTATTTTAACTAACTAATGGAATCTTATTGCCGATATTTTGTACATTCAAAAAGCTGTCCAAGTGTCTTTCAGCTGCTGTAAACCAAAGTCTGTTTGTCTTCAGGCAACAGCTTAAATAAACTCTCCATGTCTACCACATCATCATATCTGCATGATGCTTGTTGGACGTTTGCAATCATGTTTAATGCTACAGCTTAGTAATAATCAACTCACTTTACAGGTATTATCTAAGAATTTGAAGACAAATCATCAGTGATTTTTCACTTCCTCATGCAAGCTGTATCTGTTAGCTGTTATTTATAGTGTAAAGTGGAAGGCCTTGGCTGATCAAGGCATCCTGCACATTGCCATATTCATTATGTGATTAGGATCCGACACAAACACACGTGTGTTTGTAATCCCTCATGTTAAGTCTCTGGCTCACTCAGTCTTTCACGTGGACTTGTTGAACCATGCATAACAGTGACAAACTAAAATAAAAGGAGGCAGTTGGAACTAGGAATAAAGCTGCATATTTGAGTTTATACAACAGTTCTGCCTGGTTCTCGAATCTGATTGGCTGATAGCTGTGTGATATTCTGCAATAACAGCACTCGTATAGCCTCCTTACCCTTCTGTTTTACTCCGTCCACATGGTGACAGTAGGACCAATAAACTAATTACAGTTTGACAAATATTGCAGCTGTTGTACAACATGAAGTACTTTTGAGGCTTTTTTTAGGCGAGGATGTACTTGTTTAGTATGCAACTATGCAGTTTATTATATAAGGATAGTGGCAATTTTAAAAATTAATAATTTTGGAGATACAGCACGTCAGCATTAGCCTGTCATACTGAGCAGAGCAAAGATGGTTGCCGCTCTGCCAGAAAATGGTGACAAAACTGCATAATAAGCCCTTAGCTTATTTTCGAATTACATCTGAATAAATCATTATAAAACAGGTAAGTGTCATTCTAAGTCGATCTCTCTCTTTTGTATGCTGTAGTGCTGCATTTATACCATAGTAATCTGGTAGTGATATCCCAATTGCAACAGGGAAATACTGGGAAATGTCCTTAAACTGATGGCATTTTATGTAAAATGTGAGCAAATCAGCTGTCTTGTCATTACTTTAGGCATTACGCTAGAGAATCACTCAAATACTAGCTCTAAAGTGACATTTGTGAAGTAGCAACGATTTCTGCTGTTCTGAGGTCAGCTACAGATATGAATGAATGGTGGAAGAAAGTAGTTTTTTAATTCAAAAGGATTTTTGAGGCTCTTCGTGTTTGATTTACTTTATGTACGCGATTACGCTGTCAAACTCTTGATAAAATCAATATCACTCATAGCAGTACAATATGACTGTATATCGTTACTGGTGGGACACTAAAGCATTGCATGCATCCCACCAGTGTTGATTATATAGCCATATCACGCTACTACTTGTGTGATATTGCTCCTGTGTCTTTTTAGCCTTTTCTAATGAAAAGTACTTTGTTTAATTATTGTGTAATGGAGTGAATTTCTTTGGAGTATTGCAGTCTGTTTTAACATTATGGTATAGGGTTATGTTAGTGGCTTATTTTAACTTAAGCATCTACTTTAATTGCACAAACAATAACATATAACTGTATATTTGGTGCTGTTGTGAAATTGTGGGGGGTGGAACAGTGTGATTTTGCTACAATGACACATTACATTACAAGTTGTGTATTTCCACTTCACTTCGCTGATCTAACACAGGCAGTGGGGTTGCAGTTAGGTTTACGGAAGATGAATTACACTTACAGTTGAAGTCAAAATTATTAGCCCTCACATTAATTTTCTTTTCTTTTTCACATATTTCCCAAATTAAGTTTAACAGAGAAATTATTTTTAAGAAATTAAGTATTTCCATAATTTTTTTTCCTATGTTGAAAGTAATAATTAAGCAGGGCTAATAATTCTGACTTCATCTGTATCTTGTCCAGATTTGTTCAGGATGCATTTTGTATATTTAGGTTTAATTGAAATTGCTCCACAAGACAACTTCAGTTATTCAGGATATTAATATATATAATTTGTAATATCTGGAACAAATAATTCAATTAAGTAATCTAATCTATAATTTAATTAGAATCAAAACATGTCAAGTGCTTTTTCATTGTCAATATTTGTATCAGCTGATTTTATGTGCAACTGTTTTTGGCTTTGTGTGTGGTTGGACAGAAACAGGATGACTTCATTTCTCATTCCGTTCTGTTCTGTTGACATTGTCATTTTTAACAGTTTCTAGGCACATTAACTTGGCACAATAAAGCAATTAAGGTGTTTATTCTCCTTCTCATTGACCTCTGAGCTGGTAAAAGCTCTTCCAATTTAATAGAGAAATTGCAGTGTTTTGGGCCAGTATAACAAAAAAGTGCATGCTTCATATTTTCATTTTTTTTTCAAGCATTTTAGTGTGCAAAATTTGAATATTTTTTTATTAAGTTGCTGTTAATTAGAGTAGACATTCTGAAAGTTTGTGGCTTTTGAGAAAGTTGTAACACTGCAAAGGATTCAAATAAACCATCACAGCCCAGAGCTGTTGGTTGTTGATTTTATAGCAACAGTGCTTGCTTGGTTTAATTTTGCAGTTTTTATTTTGGTAGAATGCTTGCTGTATAGCTGCTAGACTTGAGTGAAGTTAACCAAATGTTGTTTACCAGTATTAAACGGTGTATGCATGTGTGAGTTATGAGCACATTCAGGTGTGTATGCTGTATTATTAAAATAATATGTTTTTGAGTAGATGATAGATATTTGTACTGTTGCCTTACAGCAAGAAGGTCGCTGGTTTGAATCCTAGCTTGGTCAGTTGCCATTTCTGAGTGGAGTTTGCACGTTCACCTCATGATCATGTGAGTTTCCTCTGGGTGCTCCTATTTCCCCCACAATCCAAAGAGATGTACTATAGTGAGGCTATTGATAAATCAAATCGGCCATAGTTTATGAGTGTGTGAATGCGAGAGTGTAAGGGTGTTTATAGTACTGGGTTGTGGCTTGAAGGGCATCCACTGTGTAAAACATATGCCGGAATAGTTGCAGTTCATTCCACTGTGGTGACCTTCGATAAACAAGGGACTAAGCCAAAGGAAAATGAATGAATCAAGTATAGATATTTAGAGTTTGCTGCGTGGTTTTGTTGAAAACTGAAATGAAAAAGTTATGTGACTTGCTTTCATCAACTACAAAGAACAGTTTTTTTTTTTGTTTTGTTTTTTCCTGAATGATACTTATGAAATGTTGACTGGACAATTTGTCAAGATAATTTACATGGCAGTGCCTCATAAAGCAAGCAAATCAACCTTAAAAGAAAATGTGAACTGGTGTGTCAAGCTCCTAATATTTCCATAAATTTGCTCGATTCTACCAAAGAAATAAATGACTATAGTTTGAGTGATTAGATTTTTGATTTTTAGGCACAATGTCTATTTAAGTTTACTTTCTTGTTTTATGCAGCAGGTCTGTTGGCCAGGTTTATTGAGCTC